GCCACCGGAGTCCGCAGTCCATCGTGGAGGCGGCTGTAAAATCTCTCTACGTGTGACGAGAGTTGTGTGGATCGCCATCTCAAGTGTTTACAACGCTGCGCTGTTACATTCAGATGCAGCTGATGAAGAACTGAGTAAGAAAACTAGTAAAACAGCTTGACCACCAGAACACGGCTGACCAGTATTTTCTGATGAGGTGAGGTGAGGTGAAATTGGGTTTAACGTCGTGCTTGAGAATATTTCGCTCATATGACGACGTGCATGCGTGTGTATGTGTATGTGCGGCTGCTTGTACTAGCCAGACTGAAGCTGGTTTTATAATGCTAACTCACTGAGATACCATGCCGCAGTGAAGCATGAATACCCCATTCAGACACATTATTCTGACTCCGAGCCGACCAGTCCTTGTTGTACCCATTAATGCCGAGCGCCAGGCAGGGACCAACAAGTACCATATTTTAACGTCTTTTGGTATGACGCGGTCGGGGATGGAACCCGCGACCTTCCGCTCTCCGGGCGGACGCTCTAACCACTACACCACGGAGGCGGTCATATTCTGATGAAATGCATGCAAAACACGTATGCAATAACGAAGGTTATATTTTGGTTTACACTTTCTTAGTAAAGTACGAACTATAATATGTGAGTGGTGCGTCACATATGGGATTCGATCCCAGACATTCAGAGTGAGGCAACATTCCCTATCGCCAGTACCCAAAGTCAAGAATCTAATCCACTCAACCACCGAGGCTTCCACATCTGACATCTGGTTGTCTAGATGTACTTCACACACGGCCGACAATAAATACAAAGCGGTTTCTGAAAGAAGTCAAATGTAACGATTGATTTTAAATTACACTTTCTCAGTGCAGTATACATTCTCGTACTCTTTGGGTGTGAGTACCACACACAAGCTTGAGTGGTCGAAGCTCGCTCAGGGTTCAACATTGGAGGCATCTTCGGATCTTGGAGTAAACCATGGGAGAACATGAACTAAACCATGTGACGATACCTGGTAATCGCATACAAATACATGCAAAGGCAAATCAACTGTTCACCTGAAAATATACGTAGGGTACGAATCTAAACAAGGATTTACATCGGACATTAGTCTTGGCACTGATCATGCCTCAAATTTGGAAAGATCCTCCGCGTTTCAACCATATTATAAGTTATCACATTCAGTGGAGGTAGACACTGGGAATTATCAGACCCACGTTATGTTGTATCCAACTCCGCTCGTTGGATAAAACCTAACGCGGGTCTGACGCAGTTATCTTACTGAATGTTTCAAACTATCATCAATTAAATCATTTTGACAGAAAAGAGCTGATCGACTGTCACAGAATGACCAATGAATATATCACGCGACATGCACCGGCTGACGTGGACGCACGCTTTATTCTTGTAGCTGGGTATAAGGCATTGATAACATTTATCTACCGGGTGGGCGGTGTATATGGAAATTTGTTCAGGGTCACGTGGACCAACCAGAGATCGAGGTTCTTACATGAGATAGGATAAATACTTTTGAAACCTTTGGTCCATCAAACATCGTTTGAGCAAGGCTGGTATGAATGAATGAAAGAATCCTATTTCATTTCATTTGTCTGGGACCGCCTCCGTGGTGTAGTGGTTAGAGCGTCCGCCAGAAGAGCGGAAGGTCGCGGGTTCGATCCCCGACCGCGTCATACCAAAAGACGTTAAAATATGGTACTTGTTGGTCCCTGCCTGGCGCTCGGCATTAATGGGTACAACAAGGACTTGTCGGCTCGGAGTCAGTATAATGTGTCTGAGTGGGGTATTCATGCTTCACTGCGGCGTGGTATCTCAGTGAGCTAGCACTATAAAACCAGCTTAAGTCTGGGCTAGTACAAGCAGCCGCACATCCACATACACAGGCATGCACGTCGTCATATGAGCGAAATATTCTCAAGTACGACGTTAAACCCAATTTCACCTCACCTCATTTGTCTGGATATTGGAAATACTACGCCACACTGATTTGGCACTGTAGGATGTTTACTACCAAATACCTACCGATCGGAAGTCATGACGCATGCAAGATATTTGGTATCTTTGTACTAATCAAAGAAGAAATTAACGAGGTGCAGGATGACATTGCCGCAGACTTGGGACCTGACTACAGCGAGTAATTCCAGTACACCCTAATAACACATGACAAACAACATATGTCAGGTATGGTTGTGTTTGTCAAATTGGTCCAGGTTCAAGTAGCAAGTCGTGTACTTCGTTCATGCAGGTCATCAGCTGAAGCCTCAGAATAAACGAGTGACATCACACCCGCAGCCTTTATTCTCACTGACATAGAGGGTAAATCCCAGGCCGCAACATTAATGATAGCTGCTATTACCGTTTTGAATATATTTACAATTGACTCTCTGGGCACACGGTGCTGCTTCTTCCAATCATGTAAAGCAATGTTAAACCAAGGTTTAACCCACTAAAGTTTCAGTGTCAAACTGACATTATGTTAAAACAGACCGACATTATAGACCATCCAACTTCAACAGACGCCTCAGTTGGGAGTATCAGAGTGAACCAATCGGATCAGGTCTTTACTTTCTATGACGGAGCAACCGTTGTAAACAAATAACAAATACGTAATGGGAATTGTTTTTCACGTTTTATTTCCACCATGACGTATAACCACTATAAGGCATTAGATTTAGGCAATGTGTGAAGATTTCAAATACGAAAAACATATCATTAAAAAGACGGTGTAAGATGATGCGAGATCGATCAAACTAACGGAAGTAGATAATGGAACGACTAGCGTGAATCCGCCAATCAGCATGAAGCAAATATTTTCTGCTGCGCTAACGTACGTGATGCTTTATTTAAAATAGCCATACATGAACGCCATTACAACCAGTCCAAATCCAGCATTGACGTTTAAAATCATCCTCCATTTGGAACTGTCTTTCAGGAAGCGGCGCTTTCGGTCGTCGTCAATATCCTTGACTTCACCCTCCGTCCCATGATCCTTTGGAATGCCGCAGATGACGTCTGCCCAGTGAAGGCACCTGTTCTCTCTTGTTTCATCGGCTGGGTCAGCGGATCCCACTTCAAATGCTGGTGAAATGAAAAACTGCTGGTTGAACTACAGTTATGTGACATACCTTCACGCAAAGGTTGGGGTGTAAATTATATTTAACGCCAAAAATGATGTGTGTGTGTGCTCATGCGTATGCGCATGCGTATGTGCGCGCATATCTGTGTGTGTATGTTCTCGCCTGGACAAATGTTTTATAGTGTTTGGACAATGAGATCTCATACCTCAGTTATCAAAGGACACCCGAAGTGGTCACATTATAACTCCAAGGCAAACAATTGATGCTTTATCCTCGTGAAACCAAGGCAGGGTAAAACATTACCACTGTTAACGTGTGTTGAAATAACCAGGCCGGATATCGACGAAGATGGTTTGGCTACCGGAACGTTTCTACCCCGTGCCCCACAGACAAAGGATCATACACGTAACGGATTTGGATTCTAAGACATAACCCGCGAACTTTGAGTGGACGCGAATGGAACTTGAGATTTGTGGTTTTCTATATATTTAAATCATGGTTGATTATTACAATTAGAAACAACTCCTGGTATAACGCAGTCTGTATAATCGGATACTTGAACAGTCAGTTCTAGTGAGCGAGTGAGTTGGGGTTTTCGCCGCTTTTAGCAATATTCCAGCAACATCACGGCGGGGGACACCAGAAATGGGCTTCACACTTTGTACCCATGTGGGAAATCGAACGCGAGTCTTCGGCGTAACGAGCGAACGCTTTAACCACTTGGCTACTCCACTGCCCCCACTCAGTTCTATGCCGCGGGCACCTCATGTCAGTACCCTATCGCCAGTACACAAAGTCAAGAATCTAATCCATTCAACCACCGAGGCTTCCACATCTGACATCTGGATGTCTAGATGTACTTCACACGGCCGACAAAAAATACACAGCGCTTTCTGAAAGAAGTCAAATGTAACGATTGATTTTGAATTACACTTTCTCAGTGCAGTATACATTCTCGTACTCTTTGGGTGTGAGTACCACACACAAGCTTGAGTGGTCAAAGCTCGCTCAGGGTTCAACATTGGAGGCATCTTCGGATCTTGGAGCAGGGGAGTAAACCATGGGAGAACATGAACTAAACCATGTTGATGATACCTTGTATTCGCATACAAATACATGCGAAGGCAAATCAACTGTTCACCTGAAAATATACGTAGGGTACGAATCTAAACATGGATTTACATCGGACATTAGTCTTGGCACTGATCATGCCTCAAATTTGGAAAGATCCTCACGTTTCAACCATATTATAAGTTATCACATTCAGTGGAGGTAGACACTGGGAATTATCAGACCCACGTTATGTTGTATCCAACTCCGCTCGTTGGATAAAACCTAACGCGGGTCTGACGCATTTATCTTACCGAATGTTTCAAACTATCATCAATTAAATCATCTTGACAGAAAAGAGCTGATCGACTGACACAGAATGAACAATGAATGTATCACGCGACATGCACCCGCTGGCGTGGACGCAAGCTTTACTCTTGTAGCTGGCTATAAGGCATTGATAACATATATCTAAGGGTTGGCGGTGTATATGGAAATTGGTTCTGGGTCACGTGGACCAATCAGAGATCGAGGTTCTTACATGAGATAGGATAAATACTTTTGAAACCTTTGGTCCATATCATCGAACAACGTTTGAGCAAGGTTGGTATGAATGAATGAAAGAGTCTCTGGGCACACGGTGCTCCTTCTTCCAATCATGCAAAGCAATGTTAAACCCAGGTTTAACCCACTAAAGTTTCAGTGTCAAACTGACATTATGTTAAAAGAGACCGACATTATAGACCATCCAACTTCAACAGACGCTTCAGTTGGGAGTATCAGAGTGAACCAATCGACTCAGGCTTATACTTTCTATGACGGAGCAATCGTTGTAAACAAATAACAAATACGTAATGGGAATTGTTTTTTCACGTTTTATTTCCACCATGACGTATCACCACTTTAAGGCATTAGATTTAGGCAATGTGTGAAGATTTCAAATATGAAAAACATATCATTAAATAGACGGTGTAAGATGATGCGAGATCGATCAAACTAACGGAAGTAGATAATGGAACGACTAGCGTGAATCCGCCAATCAGCATGAAGCAAATATTTTCTGCTGCGCTAACGTGCGTGATGCTTTATTTAAAATAGCCATACATGAAGGCCATTACAACCAGTCCAAACCCAGCATTGACGTTTAAAATCATCCTCCATTTGGAACTGTCTTTCAGGAAGCTGCGCTTTCGGTCGTCGTCAATATCCTTGACTTCACCCGCCGTCCCATGATCCTTTGGAATGCCGCAGATGACGTCTGCCCAGTGAAGGCACCTGTTCTCTCTTGTTTCATCGGCTGGGTCAGCGGATCCCACTTCAAATGCTGGTAAAATGAAAAACTGCTGGTTGAACTACAGTTATGTGACATACCTTCACGGAAAGGTTGGGGTGTAAATTATATTTAACGCCAAAAATGATGTGTGTGTGTGCTCATGCGTATGCGCATGCGTATGTGCGCGCATATCTGTGTGTGTATGTTCTCGCCTGGACAAATGTTTTATAGTGTTTGGACAATGAGATCTCATACCTCAGTTATCAAAGGACACCCGAAGTGGTCACATTATAACTCCAAGGCAAACAATTGATGCTTTATCCTCGTGAAACCAAGGCAGGGTAAAACATTACCACTGTTAACGTGTGTTGAAATAACCAGGCCGGATATCGACGAAGATGGTTTGGCTACCGGAACGTTTCTACCCCGTGCCCCACAGACAAAGGATCATACACGTAACGGATTTGGATTCTAAGACATAACCCGCGAACTTTGAGTGGACGCGAATGGAACTTGAGATTTGTGGTTTTCTATATATTTAAATCATGGTTGATTATTACAATTAGAAACAACTCCTGGTATAACGCAGTCTGTATAATCGGATACTTGAACAGTCAGTTCTAGTGAGCGAGTGAGTTGGGGTTTTCGCCGCTTTTAGCAATATTCCAGCAACATCACGGCGGGGGACACCAGAAATGGGCTTCACACTTTGTACCCATGTGGGAAATCGAACGCGAGTCTTCGGCGTAACGAGCGAAGCTTTAACCACTTGGCTACTCCACTGCCCCCACTCAGTTCTATGCCGCGGGCACCTCATGTCAGTACCCGTAAAACAATTCTGACGGTCAGGTGATTCTGTGTTGACAGTAGGCACTCTCATTCAAACCTAACAATCCTGTCATATAATCGCGCTGAGCACCCGGGTTCGACTCCCTACATGGGTACAAGGTCTGAGGTCCATTACTGGGGAGCCCACCAACCTTCTCCAGTGACATGGCTTCAAGGTGATCGCACTTTGATTCTTCCTATGATGGTTAATATTATTTACAAACCCCGTTCAGCTGGTGAAAGTTCCTATTTATGTTTCAGACACGGCCCCAAATAATGCCCCACAGCTAAGATGAAGCCATTGAAAATAAGGTGAAATACCTGTTGCATAGCAACAATTACTGAACATGTCATTAGATAATCGACTTCGGTGTGTGTATGTCAATATGAGCTTGTCACTTTCTGAAAACACGAAATATATGTCTTAGATCAGAAAAAGAGAAAAAGAAACGATGTATAATACTGGTTTTTAACATAGGGTGTAACTACTGAAAGGGTCGCGTCGTAACCATTGGCACTGACCTTGTGTAACTTTTCTTCCGATTGAAGTCATGTCTGTCCGGATTCCTTTATAACCGACTGACTTCAAGATATCCGAGTTCGTTATATCAGGCTATTTTATAGCGTCTTCTTTATATCCAGCTTCTATATACCCGCCTATCACTTCGTTTCATCTAGTTCTGTTATATCCGACTTTGTTACAACTAATACATGTCGTGCCCTACTTCGTTTGACCTTTTTCATTGTTTGCTACAGAACATATAGTTTCCTTGTTTGTGTGATTAACCTTTAGGAGTGACACCTATCAATATCTACTCTGTACGCTGTGAGCTATTTCTGCACAGATGGAACTCCTACCGCCAGTAATTAGTGGTTTACAAATTTCCACCACGATATATCACAGAAATTCTAATTAAACAGTGACCTATATTATAATATTTTACGACTATTTAACCTAAAAGCAGATTGTATCTAAAATCTGTTTCGGCAAACAATCGAGGCTGATTAATCTCGGGCGTTGACGTAGTGAATTTCACAACATCAACATTTTATTTCAATAAAGGAAGTGGGTATATATACTCATGCCAATAATGGTTGTCACCCCCTTTCAATTGTTTTAATTGGATGGGGGTGGGGGTGAGGGGTGGGGGTGAGGTGTGAGGGGTGGGTGGGGTGGGGAGGGTGACAACCATTATTGGCATGAGTATACATGTCTGTAATTTCATATCTGCTTTATAATGTATTCATAGTAAACAATGACTTGTTGTGTCGCCATTGTCTTAAACAGGACTTTGAACTTCCGTGTATTTTATTCGATTGCTCCTACTTTGTCTGTCAGAGTTGTCGTTCTTGTCCCGCTCTTCAACCACATCTGAGGAAGGTTCCTCTTTCTGGCCCACCCTCGTCCACCACGTGACGCCTCGCAACTGAACGAACACAGAGCTATGTTAATGCAGTTAACTCAGTACACTATTCAACTAGATTTATAACTTTTACACCAGTCTGGGTTGTAATTGGGTCATATCACGACCCGTCAGCCTATTGTTGGATCACATGACACATTGATAGGGAATTCCATAAACACGGGCATCTTGCTGTCAAAACATGACACATTGATAGGGAATTCCATAAACACGGGCATCTTGCTGTCAAAACATGACACATTGATAGGGAATTCCATAAACACGGGCATCTTGCTGTCAAAACATGACACATTGATAGGGAATTCCATAACACGGGCATCTTGCTGTCAAAACATGACACATTGATAGGGAATTCCATAACACGGGCATCTTGCTGTCAAAACATGACACATTGATAGGGAATTCCATAACACGGGCATCTTGCTGTCAAAACATGACACATTGATAGGGAATGCCATAACACGGGCATCTTGCTGTCAAAACATGATACATTGAAAGGGAATTCCATAACACGGGCATCTTGCTGTCAAAACATGACACATTGATAGGGAATTCCATAACACGGGCATCTTGCTGTCAAAACATGACACATTGATAGGGAATTCCATAACACGAGCATCTTGCTGTCAAAACATGACACATTGAAAGGGAATTCCATAACACGGGCATCTTGCTGTCAAAACATGATACATTGAAAGGGAATTCCATAACACGGGCATCTTGCTGTCAAAACATGACACATTGATGGGGAATTCCATAACACGGGCATCTTGCTGTCAAAACATGACACATTGATAGGGAATGCCATAACACGAGCATCTTGCTGTCAAAACATGACACATTGATAGGGAATTCCATAACACGGGCATCTTGCTGTCAAAACATGATACATTGATAGGGAATGCCATAACACGGGCATCTTGCTGTCAAAACATGATACATTGATAGGGAATGCCATAACACGGGCATCTTGCTGTCAAAACATGATACATTGATAGGGAATTCCATAACACGGGCATCTTGCTGTCAAAACATGATACATTGATAGGGAATGCCATAACACGGGCATCTTGCTGTCAAAACATGACACATTGATAGGGAATGCCATAACACGGGCATCTTGCTGTCAAAACATGATACATTGATAGGGAATTCCATAAACACGGGCATCTTGCTGTCAAAACTAGATACATAATCACAGGGAATCTGGGATTCGAGGTAGAGACCGAAGTTTCCGTTACACCTCTGTAGTCTACATTACGATACCCAGACGATTAGACCACCTGTGCTGATGTGGACAAGAACACCTCCTGCATGTGTGACAGACAACTTGCCAGTCCCCTTATATCTAAATATTGATGATTGCTGAGATAATAAATAATACACACACCATTTCTGTCTATTTCTTGTATATTGGGGGAGATCCCTTTAGACCGGGAAGAGAAACAACAATGACAGGCTCCTATTCATTCACACACACACACACACGCACGCACGCACACACGAGCCCACGCGGAGATCTCCCAAAGCGTCGTACCTGCTCCTCTGTTGGCGGTGTGTCGGTGTAGCTGAAGGCTATGATACAGACGCCGGTGAAGAAGAAGATGAAGATGCTGAAGTAGGTGTAGTGTACGGAGGACACAATCAGGGGGCGTGTATCCGGTTCACCGCAGGGAGGCATGGGGTACACGAAGTCCAGAACCATCCGCACCACCCCGCAGATCTGACTTATCAGCAAACCCCAAAACGCTCCCTGATGGAAAACAGTCATGGAAATCATCTCAGTAAATCCGATCTTTTACTTCTCTGAACGTGAAGATACGACAAACTCTACTCGATAGGAGTACACGTTTGGGGTCAACCATGTAAAACTCTAGGGGGAGCCTCGGATTGTTGTTCGAGCTATAGTTTAAGTCACTGAAAACAAGCAACTATATAACGCTAAAGGAGCAGTCTATGTCTACACAACATCTCAAAAACATCCTGGTAAAGCAGCAGTAAGGTATTTTATGTCTACACAACATCCCCAAAACATCCTGGTAAAGCAGTAGTAAGGTATTATATGTCTACACAACATCCCCAAAACATGCTGCGAACAAGCCTGAAAATCGTTTTGTTTAGGATTTTTACTGGAACAAATATATATTTTCTAAACAATGCCAGCATCCAAAATATTTGATCTGTCAGCACTATATTCCTGCTCATTGTAAAAAACACTCTCCTTCCTCTACACAAATGCCACAGGCAGCTGTCCGCCTTTAACTCTCCCAGCGCCACTTCGTACAGTACAAGCCATACGCAGTGGTGTCACGGGAAGCTCACCATTTGGTCATAAAGTGACCTTCTTACAAAATATATATTGTCAATACTAAAATAACGATGTTGAAAACCTTACTGCTTCGTTCATCCGTTTCCAGAGAACCGCCATGATGAAAAGGGGCCCGATTGGGGTTCCCAGGTATCCCTGGATAGACTGGATGTAGTTGAAGAGTTGTCCCCCTTGGGAGGAGCGAATCATGGGAATCCACAATATGCTGACTCCACACAAAGCTACGATAGCTACTCTGAAACAGGAAGGGGCGTGTTCTAGGCGTGTCACGTTCTCATTTTGCAATCCGGTTTGCCCCCAAAAGTTTCTGCTGATTGTAAAAGACGATGGATGGTAAATGAAGGTTCGGGAAGTAAGGTACGTCGTACGTCGACGGAGAGAATCCTTGGCTGAAATAGCAATCACTGGATTGCCTTCTCCGGGTTCGAGTACTTACAGGCTACCGATTAAAGCGGAATATTGCTGGATGCGACGTTAGATTACAAACATTTATCATTCAGGAACTGTTCGTACATTCCAGGCTACAAACTTGAATTATTATTGGGTGTAATACTACTGCGATATAGACTGCTATAGTACTGTCGGAAATAGAAAAAAACTGTATTTTCTCATTTATCTCTACGATTTATGTAGTTGATATGTGAAAGTGTGAAATATCTGTTAAACTAAGTTCGGCCTAACTACAGTCTCAGTGGTAGAGAGATAGGAAACGGAGAAAAAGGACTTTACTGAGGGGAAATTAGTGCAGAAATGAGCAATGCGGTTTTTTTCCAAGTCCAAAAAGACTTATTTGGAACAGACCATGGCTTTATGCAAATTAGTGTGCGACGATATAGTATGACAAAGGACACTTTTTAAATGCCCAATTTGAAATTAGACGTAGATTTATTATAAACGATAGCTGACGGAAAAATAATAACTAACTTTTATGCCGAAACTATTAAGGATGTAGCTACCATGCAGTCTCACTGTCACTATAAAAAGAAACAGATAGGAGGGGTCGCCTCAAAAGCAAAACCTGGGGTCGGGCTTGGGGATAGAGATATCAGCTAAGATAAGATAATCCTTTAGGGCAATTATACTGGGGAGGTACACGGCACGTCATAACAATTTACAAATAATATCCAGTCCTGTCGATCTTCGGGTAGTCATGCCACCTATATACTACGATGCGTTTCTATGGTTTCGGGTATCATACTCTTTTACATATCTAAACATAAAATACAATGTATGAAACTATATGAAAGAAAGACACGTAAGATGTTAATCAATAGATGAGACATAGTCAACACACATGAAAAAGCACAAAATATCTTTGAGATGACCCCTTGTGCCTGTAGGCAGCACGTTCATTTCATGCCAGGTGAGTCGACGGTCCGTCGTCATACCTGGCTGAGCGACCTAATTGCCATCTATAGTCTGATCTATTGTTTTCAGCAGCTATTTGTATTTTTTCTAAGTTTTGCCCGATTTGACGAGTAAACATGCTTTTCTGGATATCGTATTACGCATCCCACTGAACGCTCAGTTAGGCCGAAGTGGGTTATTTCGACATATGCTATTTGCAATTGTGTAAATTTTAGGGATACGGAGTAACAGACTAAAAACAGTTTTTTTTTCTATTTCCGACAGTACTTTAGTGCATCACGTGTCAACAAGAGGACACATTGTTGGACCGCCTCCGTGGTGTAGTGGTTAGAGTGTCCGCCAGAAGAGCGGTAGGTCGCGGGTTCGATCCCCGACCGCGTCATATCAAAAGACGTTAAAATATGGTACTTGTTGGTCCCTGCCTGGCGCTCGGCATTAATGGGTACAACAAGGACTGGTCGGTTCGGAGTCAGTATAATGTGTCTGAGTGGGGTATTCATGCTTCACTGTGGCATGGTATCTCAGTGGGCTAGCACTATAAAACCAGCTTCAGTCTGGGCTAGTACAAGCAGCCGCACCTACACATACACACGCATGCACGTCGTCATATGAGCGAAATATTCTCAAGTACGACGTTAAACCCAATTTCACCTCACCTCACATCACCTCACCTCACCCAATTTCACCTCACCTCACACATTGTTGATCTGACAGTTGTCTGGTTTTGTTCAACTTGTGAAGAAAGCTACTTATTCTTTAATGGAAATATACACACGAAGAATAACATACAGTAATATTACATGAATAAAGAAACTAATACAAAGATAAATATAACCTTCCAACAATGAGCAGCTCCCTCTGCCGGGCTCTCGGGCGCATGCGCCGCCACAGGTCCATGGTGAAGAGAGTGCTGGCGCTGTTGAAGATGGAGGTGAGTGAACTCATGATGGCCGACAGCATCACCGCCATCATGAGACCCCGGAGACCTGCACGGGACAAAGGGGAAGCTTGTGTCTGGTCTGACAAACTAACGAAAACTACCGAAACTGTAGACACCGAACTAACCTATGAAGATTTTTCATCTTTTGAGGGGCGGTGGGGTAGCCTAATGGTTAAAGCGTTGGCTCGTCACACCGAAGACGCGGGTTCGAATCCCCACATGGGCACAATGTGTGAACCCGATTTCTGGTGTCCCCGCCGTGATGTTGCTGGAATATTGTTAAAAGCGGCGTAAAACCAAACTCAGGCAGTCAGTCATCTTTTGATGACATTTGATTGTGTCACATTTTGGGCAATCGTGCGTGCACTTATTTGAGTTATATGGCCTATTTTGTTGGGACGCATATTTGACTGATTTCATTACGGTTCATGATTGGAATCCTGTGTGTATCGAATTGGTTATTTGGTTATTCATTGATCTTGTGTGGGTATTTACTGAACCGGTTTCTTGGTTAATCTAATCGTTTCAAATATTTGTGCGTCATATCGTAACAGTGAAACATGATCCAGTGGTATCGAGTTTCGGAGTACCCACCTATTGGGAGGATCTCCAGCACCAGCTTGGGGTAGGCGATACTGGAGCACCCAGCCGGGTTCTCACACTGCCTCTCGCACTCGGCAGCATCCGCACATGCTATAACATCTGGGGGTAGATATTAAAGTGACTGTGCTTCGTGATCGATGTTCTTTGCTGGGAAAAACTAGGGGGCTAATATACACATAGAATACAATAATTCTACCTTTGTCTATATTTACAGTTAAGCCCCATTTTGTACAACAATTTTATTGTATATGTAATAAACATATATCTACCTGGGAACACACACGGTGGGTAATAAACATGTATCTACCTGGGAACAGTGCCCTGCTGATCATCCCTGGGAAGATCATTATGAACAGTGGCAGAAACTTCAAATAGCCAGCCAAAGAACTCCTGCCTTAGCGTGAGTTAGACTCTTCGCCGCCAGGGTGCGCTGTACAATCACCTTGAACGCAATTCAATGATTAGACAAGCCTTTTTAATGAAATCGATACATTCTGCAGGCGATTTAATGAAGCATCAATTTGGGAAATAATGTTACAGTGTCTTGATTGTCAAAGGAATTTTGAATTCTTATGTGATAGTGAAACATGCATATTATATATGTACGGTGTATATCATGATACCTTACATGTAACACATATACTTTTGGCATCAACGGATGTGAATGTCGTTTGAAAACCTGGCTATGTATACTAATTATGCAAATTGTTGTAGAATGACTCATGCTGATTAGTTTTACAAATATATAAATTTACATTACATGCTGACTGACCACGTGTATCAACATGGATCGTAGGCTAACATTCTTCATGAATGAATATCTATCTATATGGTAATTCGGAAATTATAAACGAGCGCAATGTCTCGATTTCTTTGTTAACACCAGTTTCGATAACAAGTGCGTGTCCAATCACTTGGTGTTTGGAGACTGTAGCGCCTCGATCAATCACTTGGTGTTTGGAGACTGTGCGCTATAGAAGATGACTTATTATTATTATTATTATTATTATTATTATTATTATTATTATTATTATTATTATTATTATTATTATTACCTATAGACAGTATCGAAACGTCCGGCTAACCGAACACCGTTAAATCACTCTGCTAACGAATAAGAAAATGGCTCTCCATTATATCATTAAAGTTATTATAACATGATTTGTTGGATGTTTCATTAAACCTCTACTATGGCTGTTCATTACTAGTATTACCTCAATAACATGTTTCAATCTACGCTTCAAAACAGCTTTGATGGAGAAACTTGTACAAGTAACCTAAGCATGCCCGCAGTACATTTTGGTAAAGGGAGATCACTCTAACCTGATCACAACACCAGTACCACATGACCCCAAGAGAGGAGTGGACCAGCAGACCTGGCCAGGGCTGGTCCGAGGTCATGGGGTCACGGAAGATGTGGAAGGCGTCTTCCCTGGGTAGACCGCAGGTTGTGTTGTTGGCACGGACGCTGGGTATGGCGTTCATGTAGAGGTCTTCAAGTTTGTTGTAACCACCAATCCTCTGGAAGCCTGACAGTGAAGCGAGACGTCAGTACTGGAAGGAAGCTGCTATGACCTTCAGACTGTTACGTAAGCAGTGTGCACGACATGTATTCTGAACGTGTGCTGCAGTACTTAGCGAATCTCTGGATTAGGCGGGATGACGTAAGTTCCAATGAGACCTCACCCCTACCTCCCAAGAACAAAATTAATGACACACCCACCGACCCACCACCACCACCCTTAAAATCATCATCATCAGTACCGCGTACCCCTCTAGCATTTACAACAGCAAGGCACCGTCCAGAAGGTTGACTTACCCAGTACTGTGAGGGAGATGGCACCCGCTGTCATGACGATAGTCTGGAACGTGTCTGTGTAGATCACCGCCGTCAGTCCCCTGTGCAGTACAGCAGTGTTAATACATACGGACATTACGGTGAGTGAGTGACTTAGCACTACGCCGCCTTTAGCAATATTCTCTCGATATAACGGCGGGGGACACCAGAAATAGACTTCACACGGTGTACCCATGTGAGGTATCAAACCCGAGTCGAATGAACGCTTTGACCACTAGCTTACACTCAACGTCGCCGGACATTACGAAGTTTGATATTCCGAAATGACGGACATCCAACTCCTTTCCTGTAGAACCCTGCACTTGGTGCAATCAGGGGTGAGTGAGTGAGTGTTGTTTTACGAACATTAACAGAAATGCTGCAGCTGTTTTACCACTCTCCGGCACAGCGATGACTTAACATAACATCACTGCCACCAGGCTAATTTGCATATCACGTGACCGGACTTTTCTCTTGTTTGTAATCAAACGCGCATATTCATAATAAGAAGAGACTGGACTCACGAAAGCTTTTCGGCGCTCCCTTCATAATGTTTTACATTGTTACATATATATTCTTCCACAACTGCGACAGTTAGGTCTATGACAGTACATATTTAGATATCAAACTGGCTGCATCGTTTGCTCTCCGTCGGCTTCGATGACACCACGTGGAGCCGTACAACCTATGTAAACAAAGGATCGCTACGCAAATCGAAATAGTGTTACATGTTTTTGGATATTTTCTCAGTGAAACTAAACCATTCTATTAATGATGTTTAGTTAGATGTGTAGACTCGTCAAAAACATAAGAGTAAAAGAAATCTGTACTTTGCAAGATGTGACGAATCGTCACATTTTTCTGGCCTCTGGCAGAGGTACTATGCTGGCTTGCCGCATGGAACTCTGGGTAGGAGAGTGCTGTTTCACGCGACCTAATCCACGCTAGTCGAGATAAGCAAGGGGTGGATGGTAGGAGTAACCTGCCGTCGGACTACGATTACACTGTTTAGTTCCATGTTTCGACAAGCAGAGGTCTCTTTGTACATGGTATGCTGGTCACCTAAAGAGACTCCGATGAGGAGTGTAGGATGTTGTTTGTTGTTTAACGAAGCATGCAACAATATTCCAGCTATATGACGGCGGTCTGTAAATAATCGAGTCTGGACCAGACAATCCAGTGATCAACAGCATGAGCATTGCACTACGCAATTGGGATACGATGACGTGTGTCAACCAAGTCAGCGTGTCTGACAACTCGATCGCCTCTTACGACAAGCATGAGTTGCTGAAGACCAATTCTAACCCAGATCTCCACGTAGGATGTGGCGGGGGTACTGTGCAATACCAACAAAAGTACTTTCTTTGGCACCGCGCGTCAATAATTACATAAAACCCGCTTTAGTCTTCATGTGCCGTGATGTTCAGCACAACCAGAGATGTACATGTTATATTCAGAGCCAGCTTGTCGAGCAAGCCTCTTGTATAGATGCTGATCTACAGTACCCGACAGAACTAACTCACCTAGTATGGTGTATACGCCCGTGACGACAAGCAGTCCTGTTATCGAGACATACATGTTCCATCCAAGAGCCAGTTTGATGAACAGACCTCCAGCGTAGATGCTGACCTACAGTACAGGTCAAATGCAAGTGGCACTTCAGGAATGTCATGGAGGAGGGAGTGGTTGGGTTCCGGGTCGGGGTTATTGGTTATGTGGGAGGGGTCAGATTTGTTCACTGTTTCAAACCGTAAGGTTGGTTTCCCGACATAATTTCCTCACCACGGCTTCATGTCTAGCAAAAAGCATATGGATTTTGTTGACTTGTGGACTTTCCTGTCCTCGGCAATGTTACTGAAACACTCTAAATCGAAACTAAGAGATACTGACGGCGAGTTTTGTGACGATGTAGAGCACGAGAGACAGGACGCTGAGATAGATCCTCATCCTCTGACCACCAAACCGCCGCCCAATATACTCGGGGAGAGTGTATACCTGCAAGGTCAAGGCCAGAACGAGCAGGTGAAGGGGCCATGGATAATATCAGCATAACGGGGAGGGAATTTACGCAAAGTTTGAGGCCCAATTTTCACATTCATTTATGCTTAAACGTATTTTTGTCGCATACCAAAATGTCTATAGCATTTAGCTTGAAGAAACAAGTTACACACCGGACTTCACACTAAGGCCTTGTTATGTAAAATAGCCAAGCGATGGAGGCAGTAGCCTATATGTGGGAGTTAGTTATGCACGGTACTGTACCGTTGTGGTGTCCACTCACCCCAGCAGAGACATACACGGGGAGGAACAGCCAGCTGAGCCCGATCAAGTCTGCCATTCCCTGTAGGCACAGCAGAAATAATTTCAGATGATACATTTTCATGTGGTGAGAACGATTATATATATTACAACATTTCAGGTTATTGGGGGCATTGGAGAGTCTGTTTGTGATGGCTGGAGAGACGGCAATTGTTAAACGTGAGTAATGGAGACGTCACTGAATAAATGGAATGTGCTGTTCGCAGAATATTTTTCACTTAAACAGTTTCACATATCTTCACCATACACCTATATAGTCAGTTATGCAGACCCTGAAACAAATATATCTAAGAAAGAACATGCAAGTTTTAGAATATGTGGCAAGTCTGGATTTCCACAGTTGCTGAAAATGAAGAAAGTTTCTGGGCTTCTTGACAACACATAAAGTCAGTAAAGTATAAGTTGGCACAAACAATTGTTTTCTTTAAGTATTATCATAAGTTTTCATCAGCATGTAAAACGGTGGCTGACATCCCTGGAACTTACACTGAATTCATACGTAACCATGGCAATCCCTGCCGCTGCTCCCTGTCCAGCCAGTCCAAGAAAGTGTTCGCTGCCGATGTTGCTGGAGAAGACTGACGCCCCAACCTGCACGCGCATGAACAGAAAAAAAAATCTAACACTACAGGAATTGATAAAAGTTCATCTTCCATTGCAGTTAGCAACTTTTATGATGATCAGTCACTGGTTTGTCTGCTCCAGACTCCCAGACAAATTCCCGAATTTGGTGGTAAGGGACCGTTCATTATTTATGGCGCGTGTGTGTATGTTTGTGCGTGCGTGCGTGCGTGCGTGCGTGAGTGTGCGCGTGCGTGTGCGTGAGTGATGATTTTCAGGGGGTCACCCATTTTGCTCTGGGGAGATAGGGGGTCATCAATTTTGTACACGTTTCTAAGGTGGTCAGCAATTTTGTACATATTAATATTTAAAATTATGCTTAAACAATATTGGAAGGGGATTATTGATTTTGTACATGACATGCAGAGGGTCACTTACTTTGTACATAAATTTTAGGTGGGGTCATTCACATTGTACATGCTTCACCATAAAAAATCATCATCACCCCATAAATTATGAACGGTCCCTAAATACTACAACAATACACCACATGATTATGGCATAAGCCGGAAGCCACACAGAGACAACTCACCGGAAACCAGCTGATGTTCCTCCCTGCCAGGTAGTAATTCTGTACTGTGCCTCGGTTCGGTCGACATGTTGTCTGAAACAAGTACTGGGATTCAAGGTGTACGTTCTACTAAAGCAGGGAGAATAACTAATACTACTGACACAAGTACTGATTATTACGCACCACAGTTCATGACAACACCATCAAGATTTATAGAGGTCAACTTCCTTACTATGAAGAAAACGACGTAAATGACCACTGCTTCACTAGATGAGAGTAACAATTATACTCCACAACGTCGACCGTGTCGCTCATATTACAGAAGTTGACATCCATACATTTTCACCTTTTATGCGTATCACTTCTAAATGTCATTTCAAGACTTCACTACATCCGGGAACTTCACGGCAACCTCTAACGCAACCGACTGCCACCTGTGGTAGTCTATGTCACATTCACTGCTCTCCCTTCCCGTTTTACGACGTCTTTCAGCGTTGCAGGAACTCTGTATCCTTCGTGGGGACCTTTGTTAATGTATAGCGGCCTCAATAAGACAACGTAGGACATATACCTGCTACCAACTGTGTGAACTTGAGGCTGGACCCTCCATGTGAGATGACCCAATTGGCTATGCAGACACTGAACTGTTGCCCTTTAGCATACCTTCAGCTATTGTTCTTTACTTGAGACAATAGGTAAACAGTTGATTCTCTGTGTCAAAGTTTGAAAGTTTTGTAAACGGTGGGGAAACATCTTGGTTATGAGTTGGTGGCCACATTGTTTTTTGTTTGTTGTTTAACTCCGCATTCAACAATATCCCAGCTATATGACGGCAGTCTGTAAATAATCGAGTCTGGACCAAACAATCCAGTGATCAACAGCATGAGCATCGATCTACGCAATGGGGATACGATGACATGTGTGAACCAAGTCAGCAGCCCTAACCACCCGATCCCGTCGCAGGCCTCTTACGACAAACATGGGTTACTGTAGACCAATTCTATCCCGGACCTTCGTGGGTCAGGTCGCCACACTGATAATGTGACAAGAATACACGAAATGATAGGTTATGTTAAAGATGGCTTCGTTATAATGCACGAGAGCGGATATGTTACTGACAAATATCGGAACTTATCTCATACACAGATATACATAAGTCAGGGCGAGCCGGGATTCGAACCCACCATGACATGGCCAAGTGACGAATGATGCGTGAGAGGACTGGGGCACTTTGCCTCACTAACTATCAGAAAAAATTAATGAATGAACACACTGAAGGACGGCAATGTATCTAATTACCGTAACTGACATCTGAAAAAGTAACCAGTGAAAAACAGCAATCAAATTGTGAGGTAACCTGCCGTCAATGCTATTATTAAAACGCGAGGTTTGGGGAATCAGCTCGCTTGGCAAGAGGTCTGCCCATACTAACCCACACACAACACAACACCTGAGTAAATAAACAAGGAGTTTATTACACAGCAGTCACTGAACGATTTTACATAATCAATCAATAATGGTATGGTTCATAATTAATTATTAGAACATGTTAACAATGCAATCAGCTATCAAAGTAAATAAACATTACATGTAGATTCGTTACACACGACACACACTACATTAATCACGATACACATTCCAATGTACACAACAATAGTTCAGTACACTACACATCACCCCAGTGGGGTTCATGCAATCGACATTATGTAACGGTCCCAAAACAGCATATAGTATTCACAACGTAATAGAATAGGTAAATATATCCGACACATTCATACATTTTATAATAGTCACACAACAGTGAAGTGTCAATCAGTATTAAATAAACAATCCTAAACTGTAATACAGAAGATATGAGACACATACTAAGGGATGCCTCGTTCCACATAGACCTAACGGTTGTGCCAAGGGTAACAAATAGTAAAGAGATGTCCAATAAGATTGAGTTAACACAGAACAGAAATGGTAAAGACTTCTCGAACTAGAAGAAAGTAAAGTTACACACCTGGGTGAATTTACTAGACAGCCACCCCCTGATTTGTGACTGTCATCCGTAATATATATCTATTCTAGCTATCGCAAATAATCGCGTTTACATATAAAACTTACGATAACGTTGTTAGTGTGAACGTGAGATTATGTCATTTAGTTGGACCGAATTATCAATGGCCAGACGCGAGTATGCCACGAAGGTATATGTGGCACGCACGTGACTTGACCAACGTGGCATACAAACAGCCGTAAAGACTGATAAACGTAAGGGACCTTGGTTCTGTTAGCTTTAGAGATACTGGTCCCGGATTAAGTCCGATGCTCGTTATCAATGTGACCCCTGACAGGTTTAAGATTGAGGAACGTGGTCAATTCGTCTGTAATATTTCTAGTTTTCAATAACACATATCGGTATAAAATATTGGTAAAACTTTGTCCATTTTTTTCCGTGTTAATACTATGAAGATGTAAATGACTTACCCACAGTCCCAGAGCCAGGACTAGCACGAAGTACGCCACTACAATGGTAATGTCTCCCCAGTGCTCTAGGCCCGGCGTCGACATCTTTTTCACATGACACTAGCCCTGGAAATCGTAACAAAACACCGGGGTCAAGATCCGACGTCACCTCGATACAATGGGATCTGGTTTGCCGTGTCACACACCAGATTATAGGGTACCCCTGGAGGTTGCAGTCACGGCTGACTTTGCGGGAAATGGTTGATCTCTCATTGACGGGTGTTGTAACGTGTCAACCATCCAGTACTTTAGAGATGGCGTGGTTAAGAAGTCAAACTAATTTCAACATTGCGATTTGTGAATATGTGAATAAAATTGGCTATGGAGACTTTGGCCACGTTCCGTGTTACCTTGGCAACAGCCAACATCGAACTGTTGAAACTGGCTGGTAGCGCACCATGGGAGATCTGTCAATATTCTGGGTGTATTTAGGTTTGGGTATGTAGTGGGGTTGGAGTGGGGTGGATTCTGATTGGGTGGGGTATGGTGAAGGTGGGGTAGCTGCCGACCGGGAATGAGAGTTTAGGGACGTATTGTTTGGACAGAATATACTTTTCATACCGTGTTCCAGGACATGCGGGACTAATATGGAAGCTGAGCCTTCAAGAACTGCTAATGGCCGACCTGTATCAACTGTCAGGCTCTCTCCAGTGCTAGATTTTGCCGCAGTTACATATCTAGGTGCTACTTCACATATTGGTACAGGTAGGGCAGGAACACTCTCGCCAACAACTGGAGTTGTCAATGATTTTCAATTATCCATTACTGTCAACCAGCGCTATTTTGCCTTTCACGCTCAATGGAGTTCTTTTCGCTGGATAGTAGAGACTGATCATTCTGTGCCGTTTAGGTTATATATAAATATTGTGGTTCGTAGTAAACATCTCTTAATAGCCTAACAGATCGTATTTACGCTATTTGGGCATTACATGACGATTTTAATCAGCTGTCCACTTCCCAAAAGATTCCATATTGATTTCCCACACACTGACCACATATGTACAATGTGTGAAGCCTATGTCTGGTATCCCCCGCCGTGATATTGGTGGAATATTGCTAAATGTGGCGTAAATCTAAACTCACTCACTCACTCACTCCTACACGATGTCATACACGCGACAAATCCCGAGACGTCAAGTTACAGATCGCTGCTCAGGAGCCACAAATGCTTCCGGAAATGGAAAACAAGGTGGGCTCAGATCATAAATGCTGTACGTTTATGGGTCACATGTGTTTTCGGGACCCGTTACAAACACATGCAATAGCAAGCCAATTGTTCTCCTGAAAAATTATATAGGTCCGTGAGACGAAATTAAGATTTACATGAAACACCATTATAGTCGCTGATGCGAAATGTCCTCAATTGTTTTCAATAAATTCGTTTCAGTCTTGCTGGGACCTGGTTCAAATATCGTTTGTACAACAGTCGTATGACGCTCTTAAAACGCATTTTCGGTGTCACCTCAAGCGTTGTGAAATGTATACATCACATGCTGGGGCTCCTGAAATATTTCTCTACATGAAGAAATAAACGAGACGGTCTCTTGTACGTGCAAGTCAAGTGGCTACACCAATGGAACTGGTTGTTTGAATGTAATTCCACGATATCAGGTCATCGCCATACGTTAAGTTTGTTAAGTGTTAACGTCAACTTGTATGCAGCCAAACATGTTTACAAAAGTTCATTGGCAAGTTACATTCAAACAGCCAGTTCAAAGTAAAAGTTCCTGACAACACCTGAAACGTCCAAAATTCACATACATTCATTGTCCAAAACAATATGAATTCCCACTAGAGCATGCTTGACCCATATGATGCGAACGCAGTCTAACCCGTTGTCTCATGGTTCCAGTACATGTCTTGGCGGTTGGCAAGGGTTGGCGGATGGTCTTAGTAGAAGTACTGCTGAGTTCCTATCAAGTCGCCGGAAGTACAGAGCTTCGTGAGAGGGCGATCCACATGTGTCCTTTTTTGGTGTAGGTCTGGTGACCGGTTGGTGACCGACTGGTAACCTGACTGGTGACCGGGTGGTGACCGGGCTGGTGACTTGACTCGTGGCCCGGTTGGTGACTTGACTCGTCACCCGGTTGGTGACCTGGCTGGTGACCGGCTGGTGACCTGATTGGTGACCGGGCTGGTGACTTGACTCGTGGCCCGGTTGGTGACTAGACTCGTAACCCGGTTTGTGGCAGGGCTGGTGATCTGTCCTGTGACTCGGTTGGTGGCAGGGCTGGTGACCTGTCAGGTGACTTGACTAGTGACCCGGCTGGTGGCAGGGCTGTGACCTGTCTGGTGACAATAGTGGTCGAAGTAGGAAGTATGATTCACCTCGCTGACCCTTGTACGCAATCGTCTATTAGGATAAAACCTGGTCCAGTTGCACCAGCATATGCGATGTAGGCCAGAATGTCGTTGACATTTGGCAGCACATCCTCAGGCTGTTTTCAATAATCTGGCGTCTTCAGCTCTCTGTCACAGCCTCGCCTTTCTCAACGCTAATTCTGGTTTCACCTGATACTGACATTGTAAACTGTTGGTACACCATCCATCGTTCACAACGTGTCTACTGTTACACGGTATGGGTTTTGCCAATGAATTTGTTATGATAAAACGAATGACCAAATGTTGTGTCTTTCACCAACAAAACATTTACACCACATTCTATGTCGTACAGCTACTTGGCAAGTTAGTATATATTGTCTGTTGTCAGTGTCCGACTGAACTTTTCACGTTACACACTCTATATACTAATTGCATGTTCCAGGATGAGGGTCAGGGTCAGTCTCGAAACAATTTTGACAGCATCTTAAATGGTCGATATTTTGTAATAGGACTATTTTCCAGGATCAGTAAATACAATGTTATTTCCTAATACATGATACTTTCTATCTATAGATTATTGTTTTGTTGCTCTCTTCACTGGCACAACGACCAAACCAAGACCATTGTCACAAAAACTGCGTGCTCAAACAACATGTTGCGATGGTTACAAAGAAAGTATACTTGATTCTGAGCAGTTTTCAAACGTCTTTGGCTCTCTGGCTCCCTATCCCTGGCTCTCTATCCCTGGCTCCCTGTCTCCGGCTCCCTATCCCTGGCTCCCTATCCCTGGCTCTCTATCCCTGGCTCCCTATCCCTGGCTCTCTATCCCTGGCTCCCTATCCCTGGCTCTCTATCCCTGGCTCCCTGGCTCCGGCTCCCTATCCCTGGCTCCTATCCCTGGCTCCCTATCCCCGGCTCTCTATCCTGGCTCCCTATCCTGGCTCTCTCATCCCTGGCTCCTATCTATCCCTGGCTCCCTATCCCTGGCTCCTATCCCTGGCTCCTCTATCCCCGGCTCCCTATCCCTGGCTCCCTATCCCCGGCTCCCTATCCCCGGCTCCTATCCCTGGCTCTCTATCCTGGCTCCCTATCCCTGGCTCTCTATCCTGGCTCCTGTCTCCGGCTCCTATCCCTGGCTCCCTATCCTGGCTCTCATCTCTGTCCCCGGCTCCTATCCCTGGCTCCTCTTTCCCTGGCTCCCTGGGCTCCCTATCCCCGGCTCCCTATCCTGGCTCTCTATCCTGGCTCCTGTCCTGTCTCCGACTCCTATCCCTGGCTCCCTATCCCTGGCTCCCTATCCCTGGCTCTCTATCCTGGCTCTCTCCTGTCCTCGGCTCCTGTCTCCGGCTCCCTATCCTGGCTCCCTATCCCCGGCCCTCCCTATTCCTGGCTCTCTATCCCTGGCTCCCTGTCTCCGGCTCCCTATCCCTGGCTCCCCATCCCTGGCTCCCTGTCCTGGCTCCTGTCCTCGGCTCCCTGTCCCCTGGCTCCCTATCCCTGGCTCTCTGTCCTCGGCTCCCTGTCTCCGGCTCCCTATCCCTGGTGAAATCCCCTGGCTCTCTGTCCTCGGCTCCCTGTCCCCGGCTCCTATCCCTGGCTCTCTGTCCTCGGCTCCCTGTCTCCGGCTCCCTATCCCTGGCTCCCTATCCTGGCTCTCTGCCCTCGGCTCCTGCCCCGACCACCGTGGTGAACATAAATAGGTTTGACATCAATAGGTCTGTTGCACTACAACCACCTTTATGTTTTCTGTTGCACTACAACCATTAGGACGATGGCACGTTACAGGCGCCATGGCCAACCTCGAGAGACCCAGATGTGGTCAACCATCCGTCTTCACCCGTAAGGAAGACTGGTATCTACTCAAACTGAAACGTCACTGTGATGTCAACCTCACCAGATGCGCTTGAATACCCTGTCAGTTTAAAATGTATCGGGGAGAGGACGGCACCATTGTGTTTGTGCCTTCAGACCGTGGCCAGGAATAGTATTGACATGTCTACCATTGGGAGACGAGAAATAGGGAACTAGTGCTACTGACAAAAAGCGGAGTGTCAGTCCTCATGGCAGAGTTTGACGGAGAGATCGAACAGCACGTTGTTGTGTTCAGGAGGTCGTGTCATTCAATAGTGGTAGAGTCTTGGTACCTGGTGAACAGCAGACTGATCTCGCTACTTTCAACTCCAGTCTTCCGGCACAACGCTACGTCGAGATATGTCACCCAGTTATTCACCCGTACCTGCAACAAAACCCTCGAAACATATTCCAACAGGACACCGTCAGAATCACCATGAACTTTTTCAATGTCAACAGTGCTTTTGCCAATGTTAAAACGCGAATGTTGGGGAATCAGCTCGTTTTGGCAAGAGGTATGACTATACCAAACCACAAACAACACAACACCTGAGTAAATATGCGAGGAGTTTACTACACAGCAGTCACTGAACCTATATCTAACGTAATCTGTCAGTAATAGAATGGTTTATAATTAATTATTACAGCATGTTCACAATGCAATCAGCTATCAAAGAACAAAAACATCACATGTAGATTCGTTACACATACTACATTAACCACGATACATATTCAAACGTTTACAAAGTAATGCAATTATTCAATACTCTACACATCACCACAGTGGGCGTTCATACAATCTACATTATATTATAACAGTCACAAACCAGCATAGTATTCACAACGTAATACAATAGTTAAGATACCCGACAGTCTCTACAGATTTTATAATAGTCACAAAACAGCGTAGTGTTAATCAGTATAAATAAACAATCCTAAACAGCAATATAGAATATATGAAACATATAACGAGGGATGCCTCGTTCCACATCAACCTGAAGGTAGTACCATGGGTAACAAATAGTAAAGAGATGTCCAATAAGAATAAAGTTAACACAGAATAGCAATGGTAAAGATTTATCGAACTTGAAGAAAGTTAAAGTTATATACTTGAGCGAAATTACTAGAGGGCCACCCCATGATTTGTGACTCTCATCTGTATTATATACCTGTTCCAGATATCGCAGATAATCGCGTTTACAGATAAAACTTACGATACTGTTGTTATTGTGAACTTGAGATTGTGTCATTTAGTTGGACAAGAGCATCGATGGCCAGTCACGAGTATCCACGAAAGTATATGTGGCACGAGATTTGACCATCGGATATAAACATACAATACAGATAAACGTACTGCACCTTGACTCTAATAGCTTTAGTGAGTGAGTGAGTTTAGTTTACGCCGCACTCAGTAATATTCCAGCTATATGGCGGTGGTCTGTAAATAATCGAGTCTGGACCAGACAATCGATCTGCGCAATTGGGAACCGATGACATGTGTCAACCAAGTCAGCGAGTCTGACCACGCGATCCTGTTAGTCGCCTCTTACGAAAAGCATGGGTTACTGAAGATCAATATTCTAACCCAGGCCTTCACGGGTACTATTAGCTTAAGAGATACTGGCCCCGGATTATGTCCGATGCACGTTATCAGTGTGACCCTTGGTGGGTTTAAGATAATGGAACGTGGTCAATGAGCCGGTGATATTTCCTATTTTCAATAACATATCATGTCATAAAATACTGGTCAAACATTGTCCAGTTTTTCCGTGTTAATACCATGACCATGGCGAACCCTGACATGTCTCCCACAGAGCATCTGTCGGATCATAATTACAAAAAGACACATTACTGTAATAATTTAACAACAGTGCCATTCGACGTCTAACGCACAACGCTCGACCCTTAAGAGAAATTCTGAGTTGACGGCCGTTGTGTGAATACAGGATATTGACAATCATGTCGCTGTGACTAAACCTTGAACAGTTTACTACATGCATTGCTGAATGATCGAATACCGTACGCCTCACTCCACATCACTGATTGTACGAATGTACCATTTCTTTATCCGCTTAGCATTGAGTAAATGCTCACATGCAAAATATTGTATTGTCAATTGCAACTATTTATATTGTCAGAAACACAGGTACACTACCTGTCAATAGCGATGTCCGGAGAGCGGAAGGTCGCGGGTTCGATCCCCGACCGCGTCATATCAAAATACGTTAAAATATGGTACTTGTTGGTCCCTGCCTGGCGCTCGGCATTTATGGGTACAACAAGGACTGGTCGGCTCGGAGTCAGTATAATGTGTCTGAGTGGTGTATTCATGCGTCACTGCGGCATGGTATCTCAGTGGGCTAGCACTATAAAACCAGCTTCAGTCTGGGCTTGTACAAGCAGCCACACATACACATACACACGCATGCAAGTCGTCATATGAGCGAAATATTCTCAAGCACGACGTTAAACCCGATTGCACCTCACCTCAATAGCAATGCTAATACACATGCACATTCGGTCACACTTTCTCAGTAAAGTACAGATTCTAGTACTCTGAGGATTAAGCACCATCAGGGACTCGAACCCAGACTCTAAGAGAGACGCTCCTAATCACCAGCACACACATCTAAATAGGCAGGGGCGGTGGGGTAGCCTAATGGTTAAAGCGTTTGCTCGTCACGCCGAAGACCCGGGTTCGAATCCCCACATGGGTACATTGTGTGAAGCCCATTTCTGGTGTCCCCCCGCCGTGATGTTGCTGGAATATTGCTAAAAGCGGCGTAAAACCAAACTCAGTCAGTCAGTCTAAATAGGCAAAGTAACCAGGCAGGATTCAATTTCAATATTCTTATGAGCAGGGGAAACACTTACCTAAATGAACTATATACCGCGATTCAACTGAGTCTAAACATGTAATCAGTTATTATTAACTCTTATCATTTGAAACAGACATGTGTTTCACCTACTTAGTCCACAAGAGCTGTAATAGCAAATAAAGGACTGGTTGACGATATGTTGTCATAAACACAATGCGGAAGTTAAATTCCAAACATGTTCAGCAAGGATGTACCCTCCAAGTGTTTTGTTCAGGGGCTCCTTTCACGAAGCAACCTTTACTAAGGTTAACCTTAACTCCCATTCTTTAACATTGCACTAAGGTTACCTTCGCGACTTGCGATCAAGTTAGTGCTTTGTGAAAGGAGGCCCTGGACAATATCAGTTATGACGTATAGATATGACACAACCTTGACTTTCCCATGTCAAGTAAGTGTGACGAGGTTCACATCAAGGGAACCCTGTACTTTAAATGCGCAATTGCTTTTATCTAGGTTTGTAAGAAACTATGACACCATACTTCACTATGACGTCGCTCTGGAGGGCCAGGGTCAGTTCTTGTCGGTGGTCTATGCTTCTTGAAGGGCCAGGGTCAGTTGCGGTGGTCTGTGCTTCTTTGAAGGCCAGGGTCAGTTCTTTGGTCTGTGCTTCTTGAAGGGCCAGGGTCAGTCTCGGGGGTCTGTGCTTCTTGTTTCTGTAAGGCCAGGGTCAGTTCTTGTCGGGGGTCTATGCTTCTTAAAGGGCCAGGGTCAGTTCTTGTCGGTGATGATGGTCTTCATGCCTTGAAGGGCCAGGGTCACTTCTTGTCGGTGGTCTGTGCTTCTTAAAGGGCCAGGGTCATTCTTGTCGGTCTGTGCTTCTTGAAGGCCAGGGTACTTCATGGAAGGGCCAGGGCCTTGTCGAAGTCTGTGCTTCTTGTCAGTTCTTGTCGGTGGTCTATGCTTCTTAAAGGGCCAGGGTCAGTCTTGTCGGTGGTCTGTGCGTTTGAAGGGCCAGGGTCACTTCTTGTCGGTGGTCTGTGCTTCTTGAAGGGCCAGGGCCAGGGGTCAGCTTCTTGAAGGCCAGGGTCACTTCTTGTCGTGGTCTGTGCTTCTTGAAGGGCCAGGGTCAGTTCTTGTCGGTGGTCTGTGCTTCTCAGTTCTTGTCGGGGGCTATGCAGGGTCAGTTCTTGCTCTTGAAGGGCCAGGGTCAGTTCTTGTCGGTGGTCTGTGCTTCTTGAAGGGCCAGGGTCAGTTCTTGTCGGTGGTCTATGCTTCTTGAAGGGGCCAGGGTCAGGGGGTCTCTTGTCAGTTCTTGTCGGTGGTCTGTGCTTCTTGAAGGGCCAGGGTCACTTCTTGTGCTATCTTGAAGGGCCAGGGTCTGTTCTCTTGAAGGGCCAGGGTCGGTGGTCTGTGCTTCTTGGGCCAGGGTCAGTTCTTGTCGGTGGTCTGTGCTTCTTGAAGGGCCAGGGTCAGTTCTTGTCTGGTGGTCTATGCTTCTTCTTTTGAGGGCCAGGGTCAGTTGTCAGTGGGTCCCATACTTCTTGAAGGGGTCAGGGTCAGTTCCTGTCGGTGGTCTTGTTGGCGTCCTATACTTCTTGGAGGGCCAAGGGGCCAGGGTCTTCTTGTTCTTCAAAGGTCAGGGTCGGTGGCCTATACTCTTGGGGCCAGGGCCAGTTCCTGTCGGTGGCCCTATGCTTCTTGGGGCCAGGATCAGTTCTTGTCGGTGGGCTATGCTTCTTGGGGCCAGGGTCAGTTCCCTAGTCGGTGGGCTATGCTTCTTGGGGCCAGGGTCAGTTTTTGTCGGTGGCCCTATACTTTGGGGGCCAGGATCAGTTCTTGTCGATGGCCTATATGCTTTGATGGGTCAGGGTTAGTTCTTGTTGGTAGCCTATACTTCTTGGGGGGGGGCCAAGATCAGTTCGTGTCGGTGGCCTATACTTCTTGGGGGGCCAGGATCAGTTCTTGTCGGTGGGCTATGTTTCTTGATGGGTCAGGGTCAGTTCTTGTCGGTGACCTATACTTCTTGGGGGCCAGGGTCAGTTCCTGTCGGTGGCCTATACTTCTTGGGGGCCAAGGTCAGTTCTTGTGGGTGGCCTTTACGTCTTGGAAGGCCAGGGTCAATTCTTGTCGGTGGCCTATACTACTTGGAGGGCCAAGATCAGTTCGTGCCGGTGGCCTATGCTTCTTGGAGTGCTAGGGTCAGTTCCTGTCGGTGTCCTATACTTCTTGAAGGGTCAGAGTCAGTTCTTGTCGGTGGCCTATGCTTCTTGTAGGGTCACTTCTTGTCGGTCCTTGTCGCTGTCGAGCAGGACGATCCATGACATCCCAGAGTGCTATGGGGAACATGTCTGGGGAGTGTTCAGGCCACGGCAATACGTTAACGTTGTTGGCTGCAAGGAATGTTTGTACAATTCGTGCTGCATGGGGTCTGACGTTGTCATGCTGATAAAGGTCACTACGTGGCAGCTGTTGTAGAAGTGGTAAGACAGCTATGTCACCCACGTAGTCATATGCAGTCATATGTACGTTGCCATGACCAGTGGCGTTCACTCTTGCCAACAAATTCAACCCGACACCATAACACCCAACATACATCACGACCTCCTTCGCTTCAAAATAGCTTCCATTAGCTCTGAACAGACAGACCCAGTTCTCATAAGTGAAGGCGACCCTAGCCGCTCTGGTTACCGCCTACAACGTTAGTCCATCTCAGTCTCTGACCACGATGTGGAGCTGTCAGTAAGAGCCGCCTACAACGTTAGTCCATCTCAGTCTCTGACCACGATGTGGAGCTGTCAGTAAGAGCCGCCTACAACGTTAGTCCATCTCAGTCTCTGACCACGATGTGGAGCTGTCAGTAAGAGCCGCCTACAACGTTAGTCCATCTCAGTCTCTGACCACGATGTGGAGCTGTCAGTAAGAGCCGCCTACGACGTTAGTCCATCTCAGTCTCTGACCACGACATGGAGCTGTCAGTAAGAGCCGCCTACGACGTTAGTCCATCTCAGTCTCTGACCACGATGTGGAGCTGTCAGTAAGAGCCCTCTGCCAGCCCGGAATTGCCTGGCCACTTTCAATAGAAATAATATTATCAACCCAATAACGTCGAGCGTTTTATGTCAAAATCAGAAATCTTGAATGGTTTGTAAAAAAGAAGTTTGACAATCAGATTCACAGAGTAAAACGTATGTAATTTCAATGGGTTTTTGTCATTTGATGAACAAGAAATATCAGAATATGCTATCCTAAATGTTCCAAAATCATGGCTAATATAGAGAGAGACCTTATAATAGAGATAATATAGAGGGAGACCGTATAATAGAGCGAATATAGAGAGAGACCGTATAATAGAGCTAATATAGAGAGAGACCGTATAATAGAGCTAATATAGAGAGAGACCGTATAATAGAGCTAATATAGAGAGAGACCGTATAATAGAGCGATATAGAGAGAGACCGTATAATAGAGAGAATATATAATAGAGCTAATATAGAGAGAGACCGTATAATAGAGCTAATATAGAGAGAGACCGTATAATAGAGCTAATATAGAGAGAGACCGTATAATAGAGCTAATATAGAGAGAGACCGTATAATAGAGCTAATATAGAGAGAGACCGTATAATAGAGCTAATATAGAGAGAGACCGTATAATAGAGCTAATATAGAGAGAGACCAGTATAATAGAGCTATAGAGAGAGACCGCTAATAGAGCTAGAGACCGAGACCGTATAATAGAGCTAATATAGAGAGACCGTATAATAGAGCTAATATAGAGAGAGACCGTATAATAGAGCTAATATAGAGAGAGAGAGACCGTATAATAGAGCTAATATAGAGAGAGACCGTATAATAGAGCTAATATAGAGAGAGACCGTATAATAGAGCTAATATAGAGAGAGACCGTATAATAGAGCTAATATAGAGAGAGACCGTATAAGCTAGAGCGTAGAGCTAATATAGAGAGAGACCGTATAATAGAGCTAATATAGAGAGAGAGATAATAGAGCCAATATGAGAGAGAGACCGTATAATGGGAGCTAATATAGAGAGAGAGACCGTATAATAGAGCTAATATAGAGAGAGAGAGCGAATATGAGAGAGACTATAAGACCGTATAATAGAGCTAATATAGAGAGAGAGACCGTATAATAGAGCTAATATAGAGAGAGACCGTATAATAGAGATTAATGAGAGAGGCCGTATAATAATGAGAGACTTATATGATTAATGTTAGAGAAAATGATGACATTTGTCTTCATGAGTTATCTGTTTAGTCAAGTATTTATACAACATTAATCGCTCTTCAAAATCAAATAGATATACTCTCAGCGTATACAGATAAATGGCAGTTGAGTGTGAATCTAGATAAAACAAACATCGTTATATTCCGTAGAGGTGGTCCTTTGTCGGCTAGAGAGAAATGGGTTTTTTAAAGATAAACGCATGAATGTTGTGAATGATTATAAATACCTTGGCATATTGTTTACCCATACGATGAATCTGAATAAGTCCGTACTTAACCTGGCGAGGAGAGCAAAGAAAGCTCTTTTACAACTTCACTGTTGTTCCTATGCTCGGTCTTGTTCCACCGACTATTTACTTCAAATTATTTGACTCTCAGATACAACCGATTTTACTGTATGGATCTGAAATATGGGGTTTTAAAGAGTATTATACCATAGAAAAAATTCATTTGCTTGCCTGTAAAAAGTTTCTAAATGTTGGTTTGTCAACACCAAATGTTATGGTTTATGGTGAATGTGGGAGGTTCCCATTGTACATATCATCTTATTGTCGTTGTTTAAAATATTGGTGTAAAATAATGAATATGCCTGAACACCGTTTACTTAAAAAGGCTTTCAATATGCTTTTACATCTTGATTATCTTGGAAAGAATAACTGGACATCCCATATTCGCACCTTACTATTTAGATATGGTTTTGGTTGTATTTGGTTATCACAGACAGTTGGCAATGCAAATATGTTTATTAAACAGTTTCGTATGCGGGCTATTGATATGTTTAAGCAGGAATGGCATTCAACTATTAATGAAAGTTCTCGATATGATGCATATCGTCAATTTAAGTCGTTGCTTGAGCCAGAGTGTTATCTTGTTCACCTTCAATACAGAAATGTTCGCAATGCTTTTATACGGTTTAGATTAGGCCTTAATGATTTATTAATTAACCGTGGAAGATATGTTTCTATGGGAAAAAAACAAAGATTATGTCCATTCTGTTTCATTATTGAAGACGAATTCCATTTTATGTTTATTTGTCCTGTATATGAAAATCTAAGAAATAGTATCTACCGCAACTGTCTTTATCTCAAATCAACGTTAATCTATTGTCTTCCTTACTATCCTGCAAAGAACCTCCCAAACAACACAACGTTGCTCTATTTATCTATAATGCATTTTTGTTAAGAAAAGAATTGATTAGTTAGAAAATTGATTATATATGCCATTGTCAAGATGTATCTCTTTTGTATATGGGCCTATGGCCTTTAAGACAATAAAGAATTGAATTGAATTGAACTTGCACTTCACTAGTAAACATTATTTGAGGTGAGGTGAAATTGGGTTTTACGTCGTACTTGAGAATATTTCGCTTATATGACGACGTGCATGCGTGTGTATGTGTATGTACGGCTGCTTGTACTAGCCCAGACTTAAGCTATTGTTATAGTGCTTGCCTACTGAGATACCATGCCGCAGTGAAGCATGAATACCCCACTCAGACACATTATACTGACTCCGAACCGACCAGTCCTTGTTGTACCCATTAATGCTGAGCGCCAAGCAGGGACCAACAAGTACCATATTTTAACGTGTTTTGGTATGACGCGGTCGGGGATCGAACCCACGACCTTCCGCTCTCCGGGCCGACGCTCTAACCACTACACCATGAAGAAAATGGAAACACTATATCCCATAACACATTGTAGTATATTGCCATATTCAAACTTCATCAATTTCTTATGGCCTAAATATATACTGAAAGGCAAAAGAAACTGCGCCAGAATACAATGCCTCTGATTAAAACGTGAAAACACCATAAGGTGAGGTCAAGTTAGTAAATGGACAACTTCATAAAATAGTGACGACCTGAAACTTGGCGTTCGACTGTCAAATATTGTTCCACAGACATCCACTTGGCGTGTAAATTTCGGCTGTCCACATTTTCGTCACACTTTACTCAAACACATAAAAATGGTTCCAGTTACAAAATTTGTCACTTATGTCCAGCCGTGCCTCCAAACATGCATGAAGTCTACATCGAACTAAACCAAAACGCCTGATCACGTGGTAAGCGGTTCCATTCGTCCTATAGAACGTGCGTCAGGTCTGTTGTGCTGGTCCGCCGACCTAATCCATGCGAGGCTGATGACGTCACTGTGAGGAAGCGGTTGCGGATATGGCGTGGTGACCCGCGGTCTCCCTGTTCCGGTCACCAATGTCCAACCAGTTTGCCTAAACCGTTTCAAAAGTTTCCGGGATGAGGCAAAGATTCTTCCAACGTGGGTATCCATTGTATCCTTCATCTGTAAAATCCCAATGGGTCGTTCAGGTGTCTGGTATTTCAAGAGTGTCATTTTTAACAATGTAGTAGCACCTCACTTTGTTATGTGACCTAAAGGTTACGAAGTTTGTTTGTCACCCCGAAGACCCGGGTTCGATTCCCCACATGGGTGCAATGTGTGAAGCCCATTTATGGTGTCCCCTGCCGTGATATTACTGGAATATTGATAAAAGCGGCGTTAATGCACAACTAACTCAATATTTGTTCGTAATAATAACTACCCACCAACATTCCAGTTCATACAGTAGGAGCTCACTGAATTTTACAAGTTAAAAAGTATACTTCTGTCATTAATTGTAATAGAGACTACTTCAATAAGGTTTGGTCAAACTGTCATGCTCTATTCTCTTGAATATATTGTTATGCAAAACCGTGTAAAAAAATATTTGTTCGTGACACTAATTCTGTCATGAACTTGGCATTAAACTGTGTAGTATCAACTGACTATTACTAAACAGTCGAATCTTCAACTCTGGTTGTAATGTGTTTTATCATCACAGTTCAACCTCTCCCATTTGATGCACTCTTTTCTTTCATACCAGGATAACACTGTGGTTAACTTAGTCATTCCTAATAAGGACATGTATCCCCGCCAGTCATTTACTTCCTCCAGTTCGCGACAGCAGCCGCAACAATGTCAGAAGGAAGTGCAGGAAAATGAGTGGAATACGCTTCTCGAAGCGAGTCATCAGTCTCCAGATTGGTGACGTCGAATTGGCGAAGGTCATTTTCCAGCATCAGACGTGAGTTGACAATCACAGTGGCTCGTTTGTTTTTGAAGATTAATGCCCTTAAACTGACGTGGAACGGTGATGCTGCTTTGTTTGTGTAAACATGATCGAAGTGTTCATCAAAATCAGACAACTCGTCGGAAGGTTCAAGCTTCAACTCGTAGAAACGTCTAAATTTCCCGACATAAAAGTCAAACGGAAGCTCACTTTGTGACCGGAAGTCCCCATCCCCGTGCATGCGCATTACTTTCCCTTCATGTTTTATATACTTGTACTCCAGGTACGAGTCGTTGTATGTCGGAGATTCCTTAATAAAATTCAGACAAATTGCTTGGAATGTTGGATGTCCCATACCTGCCTCGCACAGGTAGATGTCGCCGGTTTGCTTCACATCCTTCACGATGACAACGACGTGGTTGTTGGGATACGTGACCGAAGACGTCACCGTGCAGTGATTAAAGAAGGCCTTATAGCCTAGACCTCTAAGCAGACAAAACATGAAGACGTTGTGTGTGTAGCAGAGACCACCCACGCCACTGGACATAGACTCACCGATCTCCGATAAGGATGGCCGATGTCGCGTGTCTTTATCCTCGGCAATAAGAGACACGCTTTGAAATGGAAATGCGTGTTGCATCTTCAAAATCAAGAAATTGAGGAAGTCAAGCTTGCTTGCTGACAGTTTAGATCTAGGATCGGGGACATCCAGCTTCTTTTCGATGAAAGCAAACGCTTCGTTTTCGTCCAGCATGATCTAAAAAATAAAAATGGACATACGTGTCTTTATTACAAGGATCAATGTCAACATATAGGCTTATTATGTAGTTGTCACTGTGTAGAGGCATCGAATTAACCATAGTAATCTCATTCAGATGCATCCTATAAAGCCTCCAGCATTTCTTAAAATGTGCCTCTGGAATGCTCAGTCATCAAGAAACAAACCTATTGCCATATTTGATATGATTATTGACGATGACATAGATGTGCTTATTCTAACTGAAACGTGGCTAAGGAACACTGGTGATGAAGTTAAGATGACACCAGTGTCCCGTTCTCTCCTCCACTGCCCTAGACTCGATGCAAGTGGAGGTGGTATCGCACAGAAAATCCCTCACTGTCCGTCGTAGTGACTCAGGAAACAGTTCTAAATCCTTTGAGAACATGAATGTTGTGATGACTTCTGGACAGGCTACCTTGAGCCTGGTGTGTATTTACCGACACCCACCCTCTGCGAAAAACAAACTAATAATCAATGACTTTCTACTGCGTTATCTACCCTCTTCGCAACACACTCCAAAAACTATACAGTAATTCTTGGCGACTTTAATGTGCACTTTAAAACTTATGAGAAGTCCGAGGTCAAGAAATACATTCAGCTACTGAATACTTATTCCCTTACCCAGCATCTGTCTGTCGCCACACACAAATCTGGAAACATTCTCGACTGGATTATCACACACAGCAGCTGCAGTATTATCAAAGACGTTGAAGTCATCGATCGCCAGATGTCTTACCACTTCAATGCATTCTTTACTATTGACTTAGTTAAGCCAAACAACAAGCATTCAATCTTGATGTGTCGAAACATCAAGAAGATTCAGCCAGATAGTTTCAGACTTGACTTGGTTAATTCAAACCTCCTCACTGATCCTCCCCCTGATGTTGAGGACCATGTTGAGCTCTTCCATGACACCCTCACATCTCTTCTAGACAAACATGCTCCGGCAGTTGAGAAGAATGTGATACTCCGTCCTCATGCTCCATGGTATGACGAGTTGATTCGGCACGCTAAGACACAGCGGCGCAGAGCAGAACGTCAGTGGCGTAAGACACGCCTTGAAATTCACAGGCAGATATATCAACAGTGTCCAAAGGCTACCACCTCTTTAATAATCTCCACTGAAAGAAAATATTGTCTTCACAGTATACAGAATAGTATGGGGAACCTGCATCACTTTACAGGTTTATGAATACCCTGCTTGGTAAAGGAGGTGATGGTGATAGAGTACCCCCCGGACTGAGTCACATGGGACTTGCAGATTCCTTCAACTCATTTTTTATTTCAAAGATTGATACCATTCGACAAGGACTTTCAGCCAAGGAAGTTGATAGGTGTTTCAGTGAACCTCTCTTCACAGGCGATCCACTAACACAGTTGGCACCCTTCACCCCGAAGGACATTGAATCAATTATCCGATCTTCAAAGCCTACCACCTGCGACTCCGACCCAATACCAACTAAACTTCTGTTTCAACATCTTGACTTCTTGCTGCCAAGCATTACAAAAATTGTCTACTCGTGTTTGGAGAGTAGTGTATTTCCAAACAGATTTAAGCATGCTGTAGTCAAACCTCTGCTAAAGAAACCTGATCTTGACTCTCAGAATCTCCAGAACTTTCGGCCTGTCTCAAATTTATCCTTCATTTCCAAGATAATTGAGAAGGCTGTGCATGTCAGACTCAAAGACCATCTCTCTAAACATCTTCTGCTTGATGAATTCCAGTCAGCGTATCGGCAGTACTATAGTACGGAGACTGGCTTACTTCAAGTGACGAATGAGCTTCGTTGTGCTGTTGATGATGGTAGGATTGCTGCCCTAGTGTTGTTGGACCTCACTGCAGCCTTCGACACAATCGATCACCATAGACTCTTGTCCAGGCTCACACAACAGTACGGACTTGAATGTCATGCCCTTCAATGGGTGACGTCTTATCTATCTGACCGACAGCAATATGTTGTCGTTGGCACTGAGAGATCAAAAGGCACTGTAATCACATGTGGGGTGCCACAGGGATCAGTCCTTGGTCCAGTCCTGTTTTTGTTGTATACCGGATATGTCGGAAGGATAACTACTGACCACACAGTTTCTCACCATGCCTACGCTGATGACAACCAGCTCCTGAAAGCATTTCATCTGTCAGATCTCTCCACGTGTGTTCAGTGCATCGCTGGATGTACGCAGGACATCAAGTGCTGGATGACAGGAAACATGCTTAAACTTAATGACACAAAAACAGAAGCAGTTCTCATTGGTACAAAGCAACAACTTAGCCAGGTTAAAACCGACTTCCTTACAGTCGCAGACGCTGACGTCAGTTTCTCTGATGTTGTTACGGATTTCGGTGTCCACATCGACTCTTCCTTGACTCTGGATGCTCATGTTAACCGTCTGAGCAGGACCTGCTACTTTCACCTAAGATCCATTGGTAACATTCGGCAATACCTGACAACTGCTGCAACTCAAGCCCGTGTTCGAGCTCTTGTTACATCTAGGCTTGACTACTGTAACAGCATCCTTTCAGGCCTCAGTTCTAAACTCCTTGATAAGCTTCAAAGATCCAAAACACTTCCGCCCGCATCACCAGCAAGACTTCTGAACGTTCCCATATAACACCGGTGTTGAAAGAACTGCGTTGGCTACCGGTTAGGGCCAGAATTGGTCCTTTAAGATCCTCTGTCTGACATACAAGTGCCTCAATGGTTTGGCTCCCTCCTACTTGACTGAACTCCTACATCCGTATGTCCCCGCACGCAACTTGCGCTCAAACACACTAAATCGACTGGTCATCCCATCCTACAAACTGACATCCTTTGGACACCGATCATTCTCTTACTCTGCACCTGTACTTTGGAACTCTCTCCCATGTGCCTTAAAAGGCTCTGACACAATTGGCATTTTTAAGTCCAGACTTAAAACCCACCTTTTCTCAGTATATTATGTATAACTTCATCTGTAAATACTCCAGTGTAAATATTCTGTAGCGCTTTGAGCATGCCTTAGGGTGTGGAAGGGGCGCATTAAAAATATGCATTTATTATTATTATTAACATTAAATAGTGACATTAAGTGTAAGACATATAAGTAGGTTTTCAATACAAGTAATATGGCTCTTGTGAAGGCGGGGCTTCAGTAACCCATGCTTGTCGTGACAGGATACTAACGGGATTTGGTGGTCAGGCTCGCTGACTTGGTTGACACATGTCATCGTATCCCATTTGCGTAGATCGATGTTAATGCTGTTGGTCAATGGATTGTCTGGCCTAAGAAACAGACCGGATTCTCACGCCTCTACGACAGGAATATTGATGTGGGACGTTTAGTAAGAAATATACACTTTTTACAAACTGTGTGGACGATGGCTGTTACCGGTACTTCATGAACACCTGGTGTGGTCGTTGATTTTTACTCATTCATGTATAATATTTCGACCACTGTTTTACTTTGCCGCCCAGTGCAATCTGGTAGGAAGGATAATCGAGACTGTATATTCTCAGGCGTTAACGTTTAACACACATTTCACTGACACGGTCACCGACAACAGTTACAATGCACGTGATTATATCCTAGATTTCATTGACACGGAAACAGTCACGAAACGTAATCACATGCGAGATTTCAGTTTCAGGTACAAAACACCTTGACAGTGACAAATCTGTTCGTCATTATTTGACAAAGCATACATATCAACTATAAAGTTATTATTGTGCACTTGGAAACATACATCAAGTAGTTGCATAATGAGTTCCCAAGCTGCTGCGCACGGGAGTTAGTCCACAACGTGACCTACATTCGGCTGCAGCGACGCTTCAGGACAACTGCTAGATATACTGCACTATACATGGCTGACAATACCTCAGTTTAAAGTGGTGGTCCTCAGTCCTCAGATGTAGCAGTCACAGACAAGGCTGTCTATTGCATCAATAGGTAATTTGTTTAAGATGTAGTGCATGCCTCGAGACTGGGTTAATTCCAACGAAACAAACACGTTCTTCGAGACTTTGCCAGTCTAGATAACTGCCCACTGTAACAACTTTCATAACGAACATAGGTACAGGTGTTGTATTTAAAATGGCATTGTTGTTGCATTGTCGTTGTTGTTGTTGTTGTTGTTGTTGTTGTTGTTGGCGTTGTTGTTGGTTGTGTGTTTCTTGTTTTAAAATCGTAGGCAACGATAGTCCCATTATGTGACGGAGGCCTGTAAATAGCCAAGTCTGGATCGGACAAAACAGTGGGTGACGTAAGGAGCAATGGTCCACGCTGTCGGGGTACATGATGCACATGTCGCCGAACCAGATCACCTTGTCCTCGCCAAGCTGACAAAGACACAGTCATGTTCGTTTGTTTGTTTGTTAACGACATACACAGCTGTTTTGTAACTGCAGTATGTATTTAATCGACCAGACAATCTTTTGATCGACTTTATGGACATCGATCCACGCAATTTTGGATTCGATGACATGCAGTTTACCACGTGACCTAACCTGATTTTCTGATCCCCTTAGTCGCCTCTTTCGATCGTACCGTCCATTTTGTTTCAACTACCGACCTGCATAAATGTGCACGGGAGTGGTTATAACGCTGACACCCTACAGACTTAATGCATCATACGTCATAATACTCCGTACTGACTGTACGACTCCATATAATTACTGGTGGAAGGTCCACATAGCAACTATGAACTGCAATGAATGCAGCAATATGACTGCTTACCTTCACCTCGGCTTAAATGTGACGTAACAAGCAAGTTGACTCATGAGCTATTTCTAACTTGTCACGTAAACAAATGTCCGGGGTGAGAGATAGTCCGGGCTGCTTCAGGCGTAGCCGGACATGGGTGGGAGATAGTCTGTCCTGGTAGGCAGTGCTGTTTGTTATAAGGGTTGAGCCAACTGGCATTATTACAGATACATTACGGCGCTCTGGACCACACAATGAAATGACTGACTGACTGAGTTTGGTTTTACGCCGCTTTTAGCACTATTCCAGCAACATCACGGCGGGGGGACACCAGAAATGGGCTTCACACATTGTACCCATGTGTGGATTCGAACCCGGGTCTTCGGCGTGACGAGCCAACGCTTTAACCACTAGGCTACCCCACCGCCCCCACAATGAAATGAACATCGATTACACAGGCACAACACGTTGACAATAAGTTCATAAGTTTGTAAGTAAGCCTAGCAATCTACCTGAAGAGAAATCTACATGTTTCACTGCTATATATTGATGTGTTATATTTATTATTTATTATATTAATTATGTATTTTTTTTACTCTGGGCCTTATACGAAATACACTCCCTCTTGCGCGTGGGCTTTAAGTTTGTAAGTTACAAAAAAAAATATCATTCAAAATATTAACGCAACTTGGTTAATTTATTTTATTATTATTTTCTATTTTATTTTGTTTTATTTTTTTTGTGGGGACGGGGATAAAGAAAAGTTCCCTATTCACTAGGTATGAACTTTACTCGTATGTGTGTTTACATCTGTTGGTTTGTATGCAGATATTTTAGCTGAGCAAGTTATGAAAATGAACATTAATGTATCTGATGTTTTTATTATCATTAAAGATGCCTGGAAGTGAAACAAGGACCATACATGGTGTTGGTATACAGGATGTTTCAGATCTCGTTCAGATACTAAACATGTTAACCATCTACAAATATTTAGGTGTTGAAGTCTTACAATTATGGGACAAGAACCATGCCGAGGTTTGTGGTTAATACTGAGTGTGGTCCTGCTGACCCCTCTGTTGCTGACTAAACTCCTCTGTTGCTGTTAAACCCCTCTAGTGCTGACTAACCTCTGTTGCTGACTAAACTCCTCTGTTGCTGACTAAACCCCTCTGGTGCTGACTAAACTCCTCTGTTGCTGACTAAACTCCTCTGTTGCTAACTGAACTCCTCTGTTGCTGACTAGACTCCTCTGTTGCTACCTAAACTCCTCTGTTGCTGACTTAACTCCTCTGTTGCTAACTAAACCTCTCTGTTGTT